GAAAGATGCCCTTTCTTTTCTCGGCCCTTTATTTTAGGTGTTAGCAGATGTCCGAGGCGCCACGTTTCCTAAAGAGAGGGGGGTTCCTCTTGCAGATCCCACTGCCCAGGGTTCAGATGAGTCCCTTCCATGGTGCTTCACCCCTAGACAGGAGCAAGGCACCTTTTAGAGCAAACCCTTCTGATTTGGGAAGGGGCAGCCTGGCTGTGCTCAGGCTCAGGGGGCGGCTTTTGGGTGTGTCGCCAGCCCCTGAGCCTTGCCTGGGCAGCGGTTGCTCCGAAGGAGCCGTGGGATGGGGAGCAGCTGGTGGGGCCCCCATCCTGAGCTCCCCTGTGTGTTGTGTCTCAGGATGTCCCCCCTGAGCTGGTGGAGCAGCCCCGGCACACCTGGCTCAGCAGCACCTGCACTGCTTGCCACCAGCACGTCCACCTGGTCCAGCGCTACCTGGCCGAGGGCAAGCTCTACCATCGCCAGTGCTTCAGGTGGGTCCAGCCCTGGCCTGCCTTCTCCCCCCTCCTCCCCTCCTCTCTTCTGCTGTCCCCACTCCAGTGACTCAGAATCCCAGCCCCTCGTGCTTCTCCTGCCTCCCTGTACACCAGGATGCTCTGCCTCCTTAGCACCTACTCAGAACCCCGCCACCCCCGCCTCCCAGTGAGGTCTAAGCCAGGAGATCACCCTCCAGACCTCCTTCCACCCACATTCCGTGTCCTTGACTGGCTAGACAGGCTCCCACGCTGCCTGGGGTGGTGCTGAGCTCTCCAGGGAGCACACAGACTGTTCCCAAGCTGAGGAATGAGGGATCAGACGTCAGTGTGGTTTGTAACCACCTCTGTGGTGACTCCCTGGGTGCAGGTCCTTGCCTGCAGCACCCTGAAGTCATTTCACTTTGCTTTCCCTGCTCTCTTGATGGGAGGGATGGCACCTCTCCTGTGGGACAAGAGCTGGCAAGTGGGCAGCTGGCAGCTGAGGCCAGAAATACTGGAGCCACAGCTTGTGGCCCTTCAGCCTGAGCAGTGAGATCCCTGTAATTTTATCCTGAGTCCTCTGCATCCTTATGCTTTTCTTGTCTTTTTTCCCCCCCACCCTGCTGATTCATGGGTGCTGTTTGGTCAGGAATGTCCCATAGCAGTATTTTCTGTGGGTCAATGGAGATAAAACCAACCCAACCCTTTCTCTCCCCTTGTCCAAACGTGCCACCTCTTCATTTCATCATGCCCCTTCTCTCTAGAGCCCCTGTCCCCTAATGTTTTTGATCCATATTTCAAAGGAAATCCCAGTCAGCTGGACACACAGAGCAGAATTCCTCACCAAAATCATCTGCTTGCAGCAGCCAGCTGCTGTGAGTGCCAGGTATTCAGACAAGAAGGAACAAGCTTGGTTTTCATGGGAGTGCTGGATCAGCCCCTTGGCTTTGGCTGTCTCTCCTGCATGCTCTCCACCTCCCTTCCCAGGTGGAGAAGGGCTGACTGGGTTGCCAGCCCTGCCCATGACTCCTCACGAGGGAGGATTCACAGGCTGAGTGGGTGATCCCGGGAGATGTGGCTGGCAGGGAGGGACAGGGAAGCTGTTAGCCCCGTTTCAGCAGGCAAGACAGAGAGTAAGAAGGACCCTGCTGCATCATTCCCCTGCTGGGGGCCCTGGGGAGCACCAGCCAGGGTAGGTGTGAGACCAGGCTAGGCTCCTATGCTGCTTCTCCTGACTGCTCTTCCAGCCTCCAGCACGGGGGTTTCCTGAGGTGGAAGTGGCATCATTTTATTTAATAGCCAGAGTTTGGGGGGGTTGTTTTATTCCTCCCCCCTCTGACAATGCATCTGATGGTTCTTTAGCCTGCATGGACCCTTGGCTCCTGCATGGCAGCCTGTAGCCTGCCTGGGCTGCTTCTGAACCCCTGCTCCCCAATTCCAGTTGATACTCCCTGTGAATGGTTGATCCCTCTCCCCCACACAGGGTCACCTGTCATCTTGTAGTTCTTTCCTCTGGACCCCACCAGCTGCAGCTTTTCCAAGAATACTCTGAGCTACAACTCTCCCAGGTCTGGTGCCATACCCCAGTACCAGCTGTTGCCCTTCCACATCTATTAAATCCTTTCTGAGCTGAAGGAGGAACCAAAATGTGCAGAGGATTCAAGTTGTGAGCTCCCCAGGGGTTTGCACGGTGACATCTCTGTTCCCTCTCCTTTCCTGAATGAATTCCCTGAGACTCTGCTAGGATTTAGTAGCAGGGATGGGAACTCCACAGCCCTCCAAGGATCTCCCAAGGTGTGTTGCCTTCCCTGAGGGGCAGGATGGCAGCCCCCATCTCACGGGGCTCTCTCTCTCTTCTCCTTTGGCAGGTGTAAGGAGTGCTCCAGCACATTGCTCCCGGGGTCCTACAAGCCTGGGTCAGAGGCAGGGACTTTTGTCTGCATGCAGCATCGTGGGAGATTGCCCATGAGCGGGAAGGCAGAGAGGAGACCCAGCCCAGACCGACAGCCACCGGAGCTCAGGACTGAAACTGGGGCTGGCAGCGTGGGGGAAGGTGCCCCCCTGGCAGGAGCAGAAGTGGGGAAGGATGATGGGGACTCCCTGGAGAGCGTGGCAGAGCCCAGGACACCTGCAGAGGTGCTGGCTGGCCCAGCAGAGAAGGACAGCACAGAAGAGCCAACGATGGCCCCTGCTCACCCGGGCAGCAGGACGCCCACCTCCCAAACTCCCCCCAGGCCTCCCCTTCCCAGCAAGCCCACGGGGCTCACCCAGGACAAAGGCAGCTCCCTGGATGGACGGCTCAGAGACACACGGCCCACCCCTGCCCCCAGGAAGGCCACCGAGGGGTCACCCTTGTCCCCTCCAAGCTCTCACCCCATCCCCCGGCCCAGATCCACCCTCCAGGGTGAGGGCAACGAGTGTGGACCCGGCGTGGTGAACGGTAAGAGCATGGTGATGGGTTTACAATCCACCTCCCCAGCTGCAGGGTAGCTGAATTTCATTCCTTCTCTGCAGCCTGATCCCCTCCTGCCCCTGAAAAAAACCACAGGCTTGGCCACGGAGCCTTTGGTTACCAGCCATCCCCACAGCAGGGAGAGCAGGGCTAGGTTTCACACCTGCCTGCTCCCTCATTTCTCCAGGGAGTGCTGTCAGGGTGGAGGGAAGGTGGCAGTGCTAGAGCAGCGTGCAGGTGTTGGGGGACAGAGAGGTCTGTGGGTTCTCCAGGTGCAGCTCCTGGGGAGAAAAAGGCAGAGGGAGTGTTTTGAGGCTAACTGACTGCACCGACTGTGGAAGAAATGCTGTGAGGTCTTCAGAGGCTGGGAGTAGCCAGCCTCCCGTGGGGAGATGTGTAAGGAGTGCCTTGTGTTGATTTAATCTCTTCCTTTGTGTCCTTTTGGTGTGGTGACAGTCTGACCCTGTGTCTTTCTAGGGAGGGTACCTGAACCCAGCCCCCCTGTCCCAAAGCCCCGAGGGAGACCCTGCTCCTCTGATCGGTAGGTCCTTCTGCTTGCAAATCACCTGCAAATCCCAGAGCAAGGTGGGGACGGCTCAGCTGAGGTCTCCTCTCCCACCTTCATCAGCTCCTGCTCCTAGGAGGACGTAGGCAATGATCAGGTCAGGGTCAAAGCCCCTGTCCATACCTCCCAAGGTCTTTGCCTCTCAGGCTTTGCTTGAGAGCCTCAGAAAGTTGTTTCTGTGACATGTGGAGACTGCCAAGGGCCTTCTGAAGGGGCCCTGCTTGTGGGTGCTGACAAGGGGACACTTGTCTGCCTTGGGGAGGGTTTGTCCTGGGAGAAGTCCAATGCAGGGACACTGTGAGTGAAATAGAAGGTGACAAAGAGCCCCCCTGAAGTGCAGGAAGGGAACGTGGCCACAGAGGATGGGTGTCTGATCTCCCTCCGCCTCCATCCACAGCCTGGGGAGCAGAGCTGGGTGTAGGGATGGTGTCAGAAAGGGGAGAACAGCTCAACCTTGTGTCTGGGGAAGATTACAGCCACCCTTGGATGAGAAAGCTGCTCCTGCATGGCAAACATTCTGCTCCATCCATCCTTTCCCCTGAGGGCTGAGTCCCTCTCCTGTGCCTTGCTGTCCCAGGTTTTCTCTGCTCCCTGCCACCTCGATCTCTCTTTTCTTCTAGTGCTGGAGCTGCTGTGAGAGCCAAGGACCCACCCTGGATGGCCTTGGTGCAAGCAGAACCCAAGAAGAAGCCAGCTCCTCCTCCTCCTCCTCCTCCTCCCCCGGGCAGCAGCCAGGAGACACCCAGTAGGACTGCAGAGGAGGAAGATGGGGAGGAGGTGGGGAAAACTAAGGTCGAGGAAAGCAGGTCAGATGCCACAGAGCCCAAACCATACAACCCCTTTGAGGAGGAGGACGAGGAGGAAGCAGAGAGTGCTGCCACCCAAAAGAGCACCCCTGAGCAGGAGCAGAGTGAGACTGCTGCCAAGCCTCTCCACCCCTGGTATGGCATCACCCCCACCAGCAGCCCAAAGACAAAGAAGAGGCCAGCTCCACGAGCCCCCAGTGCTTCCCCTCTAGGTGAGCTTCCCCCACTCCCTTTTACCCTTCCTCCCCAAGCCCTTGGAGGGCCCCCCTGGCAGGCCAGGCCTTTATGCAGTGGTGGTTGTGCTGGGACTTGTGCTGGCCATGTTCTCTCTGCCTGCTGGAGCACAGAATTTGCAGGCAAGGTGTTTTGCACTGAAGGGTCCCTTCTGTCTTCTCTGCAGACACGCAGATGCTGGGTCCCTTTTCCCTCTCCTGGCTGCCCCTCTGTCCCTTCCTGAGCTCTCTCTCTCTCTTTGCTTTCCAGCCCACCACCCCATCTCCAGGCTGTCCCACTCTGAGCCATCATCCTCCACCCCATCTCCAGCCCTCAGCCTGGAGAGCATCAGCTCTGAGAGTTCAGCCAAGGCTCTGGGTGACGCCGAGGAGGCCTCGGTGCCCAAAAGCTCCTCCGAGCCCACCGTCCACACGCCCACGGCCACCAAGACCTCCAGCACTGACACCCCCCTGGCCAGTGTCTCCTCCAGCGACAGCCCTGCTGCCCCAGCCAGCCTCTCCACCAACTCCTCCTCCTCCTCCTCCAGCGAGCTGGCCAGCTTCAGTGGGGAGGCCCAGCCCAGCACCCTGCACCCCAGCAGGAGCGTCCCCGCCGGCAGCTTAAAGACCAGCCCCAGCCGACTGCCCCCCAAACCTCCTGCTGGGGCCAGCCCTACACCCATCCTCTTGGCTTCAGATGGGGGTGCTGGGAGCCCCAAGACTCCCTCCTCGCCCAAGCCACAGCTGAAGGTGAGATGGTGACTTTCCTTCCCTCCAGATCCAGGGGCTTTTCTTCCCGGGTCGCAGTGGGGGTCCTGAGTGCAGGGCTTGCCCCACAGGTAGGTTTGGGGTGTGAGCTCCTGAATCTCAGGCATGTGCCCCTTAAATGGTGGCTCTGCTGATACTCTGCCTGCCCCACATGCTAGAGAAGTGGCAGATTGTTGTGTTGTCAGAGAAAATAGGAAGGGAACTGTGAAGGAAAAGAGTTCAGCACACTTGTCAGAGAGAAGCTAGGAAGCGTGGCTGGTTTTTGCTCCATGGCTCAGCTGCTGGTGGACATCAGTGCTGTGTTCCTCCTCTGAAAGCACATGGAGCAGGACAAACCCTAGGGCCACGCTGTATCCTCAACCCCAGCTGTTGGGATGCTGTGTCCCTTCCCTTTCCTGGACCCTCACAAACCTCCTTTTGTCCCCCCTCCCCAGTCTTCCTGCAAAGAGAACCCCTTCAACCGGAAACCATCACCTGCTGCCTCCCCCTCTGCAAAGAAACCTCCCAAGGGCTCCAAGCCAGTGCGTCCTCCTGCTCCAGGTCATGGCTTCCCACTCATCAAACGCAAGGTAAAAGGGCCCTCGGGGGCTGGGGTGCCAAAACCAACTCTGTGCCCTCCCCCCTAGGCCATTGCTGTGTATGGGCACCCCCCTGAAGCTCGTGGGGGTCTGTGGGCTGTGCTTGGGGAGGTTGGTGTCTAGGCTAGATCATGCTGATGGCAGCACCGTGCTCTCCCTGTGTTCCAGAGTAGGGTTGGGGTGCTTGGATCCACACTTAGGTGGAGTGTTCTGTTGTCTCCCTTCCCCTAGTGGTGTTGACCAGCCTGAGAGTTAGCCCTGGAATCTGAAGGCTGAGGGGAATGGAATTTTCTGCCTTGTGCTTTGGCAGGTGCAGACAGATCAGTACATCCCTGAGGAAGATATCTATGGGGAGATGGATGCCATTGAGCATCAGCTGGACCAGCTGGAGCACCGTGGGGTGGCCCTGGAGGAAAAACTTCGCAGTGCTGAGAATGGTACGTGGGGTGAGCTGGCTGTGGGTGTGGGGCAGGAGAAACCTTCATGTCCAGCCAAGGAGATAGCCCTGGTGACTTCCTCCCTGCTGATGCTGGGGCTGGAAGAACACAGGGGGCTGTGCTGAGCTCCAAGAATGGTCACAGCCATACCCTGGACGTGGAGATGTTCCTAGAATGGAAAGAGGTGGGAGAAGGCTCAGGAACAGGCTGGGATTAGGTTGGATCTCACCCAGTGCTTGTGTCCTGGCCTGCTGCAGGGTGACGGGGCCCTGCAGGGCAGGGGATGGCTCTGAATTGTCCCTTTGCTTGGCAGACAGCCCTGAGGACAGCCTGCTGGTGGACTGGTTCAAACTCATCCACGAGAAGCACATGCTGGTGCGCCACGAGTCGGAGCTCATCTACATGTAAGCACTGGGGGGAGGCATTGGTCTGCTTGTGGGGAGCGCTGTCTCAGCTCTCCTGAAACTCTGCTTCCAGGGCAGAACCTGGCACTGCCTCCTTGCCTGGAGAAGGGCGGGAAAGAGAACAAATAGGGAAATATATCCAAAACACACTCAGAGCCAACCCACTGCAATTCCCCTGCAGTATCTCCTCCAGGAAGGCCTGGAGCAGGCAGGGCTGGTCCCCGCTGCCTCCCTGGCTCTTTGGCTGTACAGGATAAGATCAGCACCTCGGTGGTTCTTTCCAAGCTCACCTCATCCCTGGGGGTGATGTTCTGGCTCCTGGCAGTGACCTCTTCCCTTCTCTCACAGCTTCAAGCAGCAGAACCTGGAGCAGCGGCAGTCAGACGTGGAGTACGAGCTGCGGTGCCTCCTCAACAAGCCAGGTGAAGCATCCCTCTGGGGGCAGTTCCCTCCATCTTCCCCCTGGGATTCATCCTCCCCTCTGTCTTGGTGGGTCTCAGGAGAAGAGAGAGAGATCTCTAAGGTTGCCAGGGCAATCTGCTGGCTTTAGAACTGCTGCCCATCCTCCCTGTGTGTCCTAGCTCCTTTTGTCCCCACGGGATGCCACCTCCAGGGCTGTCCCTCCACAGCACAGGTAGCCCAACTGGCCCTGCAGCATGGCAGGAGGGGTGGAGAATCTCTGCCCCAAAAGCTCTGAATTTCAGAGCTCCTTCAGCCATTTAATTGCCTGTCCTTCCTGGGGATTTGGCTGGACAGAGAAGGATTGGACCGATGAGGACCGAGGCAGGGAGAAGGTGCTGATGCAGGAGCTGGTGACCATCATTGAGCAGAGGAATGCCATCATCAACTGTCTGGACGAGGACAGGCAGAGGTGAGCAAGGAGTGGGGAGGGCTGGGGGTGGGGGGGAAATGCATAACCTGACTCAGCACCACAGGAGCAGCTAGTGGGGGTGTCCCAAGATGTCCCCGATGCTGACGTCTTTCCCAGCTTCCCCATTCTCATCTCTTTGCATGCCTTGTGTGGGAAAGACAGACCTGCAGCACGTGGGATTTAGCCCTCTGGTAGCAAACAGTGATGGATCTGCCCCTCCACAGCTTATAAGTAGGAGGTTCTTTAGCCTTAATGCAGCAGCTGTTTGCAAGGCTGAATTGCTGATCTATTTCTCATTCTTTTTTCAGAGAAGAGGAGGAGGATAAAATGTTGGAAGCCATGATTAAAAGAAAAGGTAAGAAACAATCAGGAAGATTTTTGGGATGACGTTTTCACTGCTGGACCCCAGCAAGGGACAGCATAACTCATTCACAAAATGGTGTGCAGAAGCAGAGGTTGAATCTATTCTGTGTAGATTCTGGAGCCTTTCCTTGCAAGGCTGTTAAATTTTAGGGCACGCGTGTGCCACACGCTCCTGTTGTCCCAGGAAGAAGTGTGTAAACTGGAGGGGTTTGACTCACAGCTCTGGTGCTTGCTCCTGGTGTGCACGTTGGGTGTACAACCATCAGCATCCTGCAGTAACCACCTCCCTTTGCAACCCCAGAATTCCACAAGGAGACGGAGACCGAGAGCAAGAAGAAAGGCAAATTCAAGCCCATGAAGGTGCTTAAGCTGCTGGGCAACAAGCACGACTCCAAAAGCAAGTCACCCAAGGAGAAAAGCTAGAGCAGGGGAACACCAGCAGTGGGAGGGACGTGCTGCCTGACTGCCCTGGTCTCCCCTCACCTGCCAGGAGCTTGTCTCCCATTCCCCTCACCTCTCCCCTGGCTCCTTCCCCAGGCACCCGAGCTGCCTCTCCAGGGAGATGCCAGCCCCCTGCCCGGAGCCTGACCAAAGCTCTCCCCTTCCCCAGGCTGTGGGGGACCCTGAAAGTCCCCTCTGTGAAGCCTGGCTGAGGAGGAAGGGAGAAGATGGATTTGCTTTTGGGAGATGTTGCCCCGTTGTGTGTTCTCCTGATTAACCCAGGAGCAAGCCAAGGAGTTTGGTGTTTGTGGGAAAACTTGCACTAACTGCCCCCCCTGTCCCTTCTCCTGCTCTAACTGTGATGGTTCTACGTGCCTCCAACCTCTGCCAGGAGGGGACTGGGCCTGCCTGTCCCTCCCTGCCCACTCCTGTCCCCTCCCTGTCCCATTTTTAACTGCGGGAGGAAAAAACTCTGACATTAGAATCAGGATTCTTTGGGTTTTTACTGGCCTAAACTAAAATGTTAAGAAAACACTCCCACCTCACGAGTTTCTAAGAGCCATAGCCAAAAAAAAAATAACCAGTGCCCTATTTATTTTGAGCTTTCCCCTCCCTCAAGTGCCAGGGCTGGGTGGGCTCCGTTACAGGGCTGAGAGGACCCAAGGGGTGGTTGTGCAGCTGCTGGGACGTAGCTCACAGGCCCTACTCAGGACATCTTAACCCCCCCACTGCTGCTAAACACCACTGACCCCGCTGCCTTCACGGGGAGGGAGGAACTTTCCTTTTCCAGGAGAGGGCATAAAAGCTCAAGACTGACTCAGTGCCAGCCAGGAGCACTAACCCTGTGCCCCTGCTCACCCAGTGCCACCCCTGAGCTGCTGGGGAGAGGTCACAACTGACCTTTAGCCACCTTTGTCTGTGTATGCATGAAAAGCATGCAGGGGTTGGCAGGTTATTTTTTACTAGATGAATTCAAACCCACCCTAAAACTTTTTAAAGCCTATTTTATTTGTTGTTTGTGTGCGTGTGTGGACGTTGGTGGAGGGAACTGGTGTGGGGGGGGTGTTCTTCCAACAATCCCTTCTTCCTTCTGTTTTTTTGTTCCCTGCCTTCTCCTCTTAGGGCTAGGAGTTATTTATTGAATTGTTGGATCAGTCTGAATTAGAGTTCCTGGGGTGTTGGGTTGGTCAGCCCTTCATCATGCCTTCTCATTAGCCAACTAGACCTAACCAGCCCCCAGCAAAACTGCTGCAGTCCCTTCCAAACAAAAAACCCCAACAGGCTTTAGCCAAAAATGCCTCTCAGAGCAGTGCCTTGGAAAGGGATCCTCACTTCCCAAAACCAGAGGGACCCCAGCCCCTCCTCAGTCCCAGCGTGGCTGGGAGGTGGCAAGTTCAGCCCTATGCTGCTGACACTCAGTCTTGCCATCCCCCCGTGGGCTGAGGAGCAGAGGAAGGGGAGGGGAGATTTCACAGCACAACTCTTCTCCAAGGAGAAACCAATCCTCTGTAGAGCCTGTCCTGTCCCTGATGCCAAAGGCCGTTGGGATCACTGCAGCCTGACACCCCCTTGACCCCCCCAACCCCATCAGAACCCTGGTTGGTAAATTCTACTGTACTAACTCCCTGACTTCCATCCACCTGAAGAGAAATAAAGGAAACCTCAGATTTAAAAACCCATTTGCTGCTTAGGTTTGTGATTCCTTTGTGCTCTATGTGGGTGGCTGTTCTGCATACCACACTTTTCAGGAACCAAACCACAGCAAGCCCTCAGCCAAGAGCAGCGTGTGCTGGGCTGAAATCCCCTCTCCCCCCTCTCAGCACAGCTGCTTTCCTGAGTTTTTTTTTTTCCTCAGTGACATTTTCTTGGTGGCCAGCTGTATTCTGTGGCACAGGCAAAAGGAGGCTCCACTTTGTCATGTTTTGGTGGCTGCTGCTGTGTGTTTTCATGGCTGGGATGTTGGGCAAGAAGGGATCCTGTGCGTGGGTAGGGTTTTACAACAGCTTTCTCCTGTCACCAGTTTCTGTATAAATTCCTCCTGCCTTCTGGCTGTAGGCAAGAGGTGCTGCCCCCTTCTTTGGGTCCAGACACAGACCAGCCCTTGAGAGACCCAGAGTCTAGGAAGAAGAGGTGGGAAAAAATTGCACTTGTGGATTTTTTCCCTCGGCTTAGTCACGGGGATCAGATTTGTTCCCAGCAGGGAAGTCTTTTGTCGTGATCTCTCTTGCTTCCTCACTCCTCTTCTTGTCAATGATCTCCATCTCACGCATTTTCTGCAGGGTACAAAGGGGAGAGGCTCAGAGGGGAGGATGCTGGCAGCTTTATTTTTCTTTTTCCAACCCCAAGAACAAAGGTTTTATTTCCCCAATTAAGTTACATACAGAGCTGGAGAAACAGGCTGAAAACCTCTCTTCCCCCATTTCCCAAATTTACACCTGGTCTGTGCCATGAAGGGGAACAGTTCTCTGCCCCCTTCCCCACTCAGGATCAGAGGAGCCTCTGCTTGGAGGTCTCTGGCACTAGGGATCACAGCCACTGCCACCAGGACCCTCCTGCATACCTGGGAGATTTCAGTGAGGATAATGCTTCGATACCTCTTGCCCTGTCCAAGGGCTTCCATCTCTGCCAGGAACTCCCTCCTCTCCTGAATTTCATTCACCACTGATGGATAAGAAAAAAAAAAAACACCGTGGCAACAGGATTCAGCCAAAAAGGCAAGAAAATGTGTTTGGGTCTAAATCTGACCCCCAAGTTTCCTAGCTCTGCTTGCACAGCAGTCCCACCAGGGGAAGAGTGGTGGCTGCTGTAACACTCCTCTTGCCCATGCCAAAAAAATACCTCTGTAGTGCCTTATGCAATGGGAGATGTCCCTCTGCCCATCTTCTCACCACTCCCCACCTTGCAGGAATGGTGACTTCCTAGTTTTCTTTGTACAGACAATTTAATGGGCAGTTTGACCATTTTGTGGATGGAGCTGAAGCTGCTCTGATCTTGGAGTGAAAGCAAACAGAGCCCAAACCATGATCAAGCTGGCAAGGATCCTAGTCTATGCTGAGGACCTGCAGTACCTGGGCTTCCCAAAAATCCTGAGGGAATTTCCCTGCCAGCAGAGTTCATTTTGTGCAGGCAGCCCAGGGAGCTTGACTCTGCCAGCAAACCTCTCAGCTCTGCGAGGACAGCTGGGTCACAATCTTTTTCTCTTGGAAACTGGGCTCTGTGCCTCCTTCCAGAGCAGGTTTCAGGCTACCAGCACCGTTGCCTGCCAGCCCAGCCCTCTGGAGGGAGCCAGCCAGGCTTCCCAGGCTCCCTGCCTGCCCTCCTGTGGGACCCCGGGGTAGGACAAGACGTACATTCCTCAAACCGGTCAGGCTCGGGTGCCTCCTCTTCCTCTGTCTGAACCACCCTCTGCTTCACCTCCTGCTCCACCACGTCCTTCCCTGTTGCTAAGATGTTTTGGAGCCTTTGCTTCTCCTTTTCCAAATCTCCTGTGAATGCCAAGGGGAGAAAAAAGAAACACAACACTCTTATCAGCTTGTCTTCTCAGGGAGCAGCCTGGCCACACCCCTGCCCTGCTAATGCAGGAGGAAACCTTACAGCCCACCCCAGACTGAACCTCACTCCCTGTACAAAGCCACCCAACTGACCTCGGAGCTTTGATTCCCATTTATAAGCTAGAAAAGGACACAGAGCTCCCCTCTTACACAAGGACTGTGCAAATCCCTGTCAGCCATCACCCCCCCAGCCAGCAGGCAGAGAGGTCAGCGAGCACCAACAGATGATGTTCCCTCAGAGATGCATTTTTAAAGCCTCTTTGAAGAGAAATCATGAGGATGAAGAGCAATGAAGAGACTCCATGCCACTGCTGTAAGCAGGGGATGGACATCAAGGGCAGAGGTGGACTGGGTAGCACCATTTATTAGTGGTGTGGGCCAACTTACGCCTTGCCTGTGGCTTGAATTTCTCTCTGGTGTAGGCACCTCCTGCCTGGCAGAGCTTGGCAGGCCTGAGATGTGGTTTAGCTGAAAGCCTTCTGGGCTGACAGATGGGTGGGGGCAAAGCAGGAGCTGGTTCTGTGCTGGATGTGGGGTGGCATTGGAGGGGCAGGGCGTCTCCTCCTGGAGAACAAACCAAAAATAACAGTCAGTCAGACAGAGAGGAGCCTGGCTGGACCCCAGGCTACCTCCAGCAGATGTGGAGCACCACAAAATGTGCCAGACAGATGTCTCAGCCTGGTCTGTTGGTGTGCACTGACATGAGACAGGCTGTGGTTCCAGTCACGCCTCCCATCTTGTTCCCTGGCTGACCCCTGGGGACATCTCAGCCTCTGTGTCCCCACGGGGTGGCAGCAGTTCTGCTGCTGTTTCAAAGCACCAATATCCCCAGAGCAGCAAAAGCTCTTCAGCACAGCACAGGAGGAGAGGGAGGGAGAGGGGCATCACTCACGTTCAACACACTCCATCAGGTGTCTCCTCTGCAAACACGTCAGCTTTAACTCCTCCATCATTACTGAAACACAGGATCTTTGGTGAAGATGGCACCCCGAGGGGGGTCCACACCTTCCCTCTGGTGTGGGAACACCCTCCCAGGGTGATTCCCCCCTCACGACCCAAAGGGGAAGATGCAGCTGTAGAATCATAGGATTTTTGAGGTTGGAAAAGACTTTTCAGATCATCGAG